TGTGTGTGTGTGTGTGTGTGTGTGTGTGTGTGTGTGTGTGTGTGTGTGTGTGTGTGTGTGTGTGTGTGTGTGTGTGTGTGTGTGTGTGTGTGTGTGTGTGTGTGTGTGTGTGTGTGTGTGTGTGTGTGTGAACCATCCCCAGGGCCTCCAGGGCTCGCACCTCAACCTCTCACAGACCAGCGCACAGCGCCATAGGAGGTATTTTCTTCTCAATAACACCAAGGCTGTGAAGGTGAGGGCAGAGCCGTGTGTGTATAAGTGTGTGTGTGTGTGTGTGTGTGTGTGTGTGTGTGTGTGTGTGTGTGTGTGTGTGTGTGTGTGTGTGTGTGTGTGTGTGCTCTACCGATGAAGACAAGTCGTGTTCACCTATCGTGATTTAGCCGCGGCCGTCCTGGCCGTGGCGGTCTGGCACTTTCTCTGTTAGTGCCACACAGTTATGCAGTGCGGCCAAACAAGAAAGGAGGATATCATGCGCGCCAGTCCCGTGAAAGAAAGGGTGAAGTTACACACCAGCCATGGGGAGGGATGGGCACGGCACGCCGGTCGCCGCCAGGCCACAAAGGGACTTTAAGCATTCACACAGCTCCCCCCGCCCCTCTCCCCCGCCCAGCCCCGCAAAAAATATCCCATTACAACCCCGCCCAATCCCTTTTTGTGGGTTCCTTTAATTGTGGTTTCGGGGATTGCGTGCTAGACCTAGCGCGCCGTACCAACCTGCACCTAACCTATGTGAATGTACTGCGGGCTGACACGTACCTCCCGCCCCACTCCCTGCCGCAGAAGCGCGTAGCCGTCGCCGCGACGACGCCGGATCCCTTGTACAGGGTCCGGTTGGGCGTCCACCCCTCCACGTCGCCCCACAGCGCGCCGTGGAGGGCGTACTTTCCAAACTGAAACATGGAGCGGGCTCCCTCCGCGGTGCGCACAATGTCGCAGTCAAACTGGCCCGTGGTCCGCGACTGCCCTCCGGCGGCGCGGAGCGCCGCCTCTGCGACGTGGTTGCACCCCGTAAGGTTGCCGCCAAACACACGGTGGTGCCGCCGGCAGTCCACCCGCCGCCAGCCGCTCGCGACGGCCTCCGCCAGTGGGCGTGGGTAGAGCACAAACAAGTCGCCGCCCGCGGCGAGCGCCACGTTGTCTGCGGGCCGCCGCAAGCTGGCGACGGGCGGCACGTCGCCACAGGGGACGCAATCCGGCCGCATCTTGACCACCCACGTGTAGCGGCCGCCGTCCCGACGCTCCGCCGACCGCACGAGCGCCATGCACTGCTCAAACTTGGCCAGCTGGCCGAGGCAGTTAGGGCACGCGGCTGGCAGAGCCATCTCTGGCTGCGCAGTGACCCACTCCCTGGGCTGCAAGTGCGCCCGCGCCGCGGCAACCTGCTCGGATGGCACCGCCCCGGCCTGCCCTTTGGCGGTGTCGCCGGCCCCATTGGCGACGACCGCAAAGACATCGACGTCGCCCAGCGCGCGTGCGGCCCTGGCGATGCCCACGTACACGGGCGGCGAAGCAAACGTCCGGAGGAACCCAACCAAACAGACGGCGCCGCGCCCCTCGAGCTGGCCGGTGGCGTGCGGGCCGGGCGAGGGCGGCGGGCTGGGCGACGCGCTGCGCAAACGTCGAGCGGCGGCCGGTTGCGGCGGCGCGAGGCGGCGCTGTGGCGGTGGCGCCCCGGCTCCTGCGAGCGCGGCGCGGCAGGCCGCCGCCGACGCATTCCCCGGGCCGAGAAGCACGATGTCGCCCAGCGCCGCCTGCTTGCCTCGGAGCGAGGCGAACGTGGCGTTGAGCGCGGCGACGGCGGCGAGTGATGCCGCGCTGCCGTCGCCCACCGGGAAGGGAGGCGCCGCCCGCGGACGCCGCAAACCCGGCGGCAGGGTGCCGGCCGTGCAACCAACCAGCGCCTCGAGCTCCGCCGCGCGCGCCCACAACGAGCTGCTCCGCGCAAAGACGGCGCCGAGCGGCGGCCCTCCTCCGCTGCCGCGCAGCCGGCCCGCGCACGCCGCCGCCACCCACTCGTCCCAGTGGCGCTCGAGCCCGATCCAATCCTCCGCCGCGCCCGGCGAGCTGAGCCCGCGCAGCGCCACTGTCTCTGAGCAGCTGCGCACGCTCTCGTTGCCTACGAAATGGCCTCCGAGGCTCAGGGAAGCCTCGCCCGCCTCCGAGCTGCCGCGCCCGCTCTCGCTGCCGGCGGAGGTGGACCTATAGGAGAGTTCAGAGAAGGCTCGTGGACGGTTCGTGGAAGGCTACAGCACCGTCGAGTAGTTCGCACCGCGTCGCACCGCCTCCCCTCCTCCGGGGCGACGGCGGGGGCGGCGAGGCCGCCGCCCCGCCCGGGTGCAAGGCGGCAGCCAGCTCCGCCTCGCGCCGCCTATGAATCATGACTTCTCATCGGAATGGAGAGGCGAAGAGTCCACGGCTCCGCCTCGCGCCGCCGCCTCTGGTCGTCGATGAACTCACGCTTCGCGGCGGCGACGCAGCGGTGGTTCTGCAGCGGCTTTGGAAACCGGGCGCCGCCCGCCTCGAGGCGAAAGGCCTGGAAGTTGGCCCAGCCGCGGCGCGCAAAGGAGAGAGTGGCGCGGACCGGGTCGTCGTACAGAAAGAGGAGCAGCGGCCGC